TGCCCGGCGAGCCGTCGCCCTCCAACGAGCTCGTGCCCAATCGTGCCTCCGCTACCAAACCTGCCCCGTTCAGCAAGAACGGCGGTGCCCTTGGCCTGATCGCCCCGAACCAATGCGGACCCCCCCCGACAGCGCGCGGGGCCGAGGAAGCGCGCGACCTCTTACCTCATGTGGACCCCCCCAAGGGGCCCGCATTGAAATGCGTCGTCATCGACCGCGTGGAGGCCGCCGAGGAGTCTGAACGGAACCGCCTGAACGCTAGGCCCATCGAGGTCAGACTAGTCGATTTCCCACGCGACCTGGACCCATTCTTGGACGACCGCTGGAAGGAATATACCACAGAGCAGGGCAGGAACGTGGTAGGCTCCGAGGCCCCCGAAGCTGGGGCCCGCCCCTACTGCGCCCCTTCCTGAAGAGGGTCTACGGCGACAGGGTGGCGCAAACCTGCCCCCCCAACGACTTCCACTCGCAAGGCAAGCGGCTCGCCGCCGCCCGCGTGGTCACACGCCCCTGCGTTCGCTCGACCGACCCCGCCATGTTGCCCAAATGGCTCCAACGCGCCAGTCAATGGTCCATGCGGGCCCTCCCCTCTTCGCCGCGCCCTGGAAGCCCTCGTGGGTTTCTTGGCGCAGGTCAGTTCAGATCTCCTCGCTTCTGGGTCATTCAAGGATCTGGCCAAGGACGTCCCCTTCGTGTGTACGCAGGGCCTGTGTAGACAGATCGACAACACCCCTATCAGGGAGCACAGCGACAAAGACTGGTGTGCCCGGTTCGGCGAGCGGCGCACTGAGCTTGCAGACCCACTGGCATAATTCCCCACTTTTGCCGCCCGCGCACCCGAACGCCCCGACTGGGGCAACGATGTGGTGCCCCCCCCGCGACGCCAGTAGGGGGCGGCACCGTCCCCCCCTACGCCCGCGGGGCCAGCTCTTGCTCCCCTGATGATAGCCGCCCGCGGCGTGCGAGCCCAACCGCTGGCGCACCTGTCATTGACGCAGCAGTCCCACCCCCCCAGCGAGTGACCAACTTGGCTCACCTCCCTCTCGCCACTGGGGGTGGCGACGCCGCCGGCCGCGGGGGCGCTGGCTCGGAAACCTCGGTGGCTGGCTCCCACGACGGCAAACCTTCCTCGCGCCGTGGCCGCCGAGGGGCACCCGTGGCCCTGTCCCCGACCCCGAGCTCGGAACCACCGGTCCTGCAGGTTGACTCCTCCAGCAGCCCCGAGGCTGCTGGCAAGCCCTGCAGCCCCGCCCCGACCGTCGATGGTCTATGCGCCTCCCTGGTGCTGGCTGGGCAAGATGACGGAAACCTCGCGCGCCCCCCAGAGCGAGGGGCCCCGCCTTCCCGTAGCATCCCCCGGCAAATTTGGGCTGCCAATGCGACGCGGGATGAGTTTGACTGGGGCGAAGGGCGGCGTGAGCGCCGCCCGCGTCGGCATCGTGAAGCCAGCCGCAGCAGTCCCTACATGGCGGCCATTAGACGGATAGGGCAGGGTGGTCCAGCAAGGGGGCTGACGACCGCTGGAGTCGGCCCGCGCGCTCGCACGCACCATCCTCGACGACCTCCCCGCCCCCTGGTCAGGCCCCTGGCCATCCTGCAAGAGTGCGCAAGCCGACCTCTCGCAAGACCTATACGACCCGGTCACAGGACTCTACATCTACAACACCCCGCTGGAGCGAGTCGACATCCTGAACCCCAATGGCGAGGCCCTGCCGAGACCGTGAAGCGACTTCAGAGGGACTTGGGTGAATACTTCAACAGAGTATGGCACCAGTGGACGACCAAACATCCCCCGCCGTCGAGCCGCATCTGCGCTGACCCCCCGCGTCAGCACCCCGATTCCTGCGTGCGCTTCCTCAAGTAATGGGCCAGTCGCAAGTGCGACGTCTTCAAGGCGGACGACGCGCTCCGTCCGGGGGTCAACTGGGGCGCAGTCCGCGTTCGGTTCAGCGACAGGGCTAGGACCAAGGGCACCCCTGGCAAGGCCAACGGCAAGGGGCCTCGTGAAGACAGCGACCCCCGTTGGACAAGGACGGTAGAACCCCGGAGGGCCGTGGGCTCGCGCCAACCCTGGACGCGCCCCTAAGTTCCGCCCAGGCCGCGCAGACGGGCGCACGCAACGACTCTCGCGGGCGCCCCACACTGTACATCAGTGCGCCTCACGGAGCTCAGCCCCTCCTTGCCAACGATGCTGGTCGGCTCCTCCTGCGTGCCCTTCCACGTGCGCTAATGCCGCCTTGGGCGCGCCCAGCTGGGGCTGCCGGCTCGTCCTAGGCCTTGGAGCCCCTTTCGGGGCGCCACTTTGCGGCCTCTCTCCCCCTGGGCGGTTGCCGCCCCCCCTGGCGCGCCGTGGGCGGCTCGGGGATCGGCCCCCCTTCCGCGCGGGCCCCGTCGCTGTTGGGGCCCTTGTGGCGCACGTCGCAGCCCTGCGCTGCCCTGCGCGCTGGTGCGTGGCCCCCGCTGGCCATCCGGCTTGATGTCGCGCCCTTCAGATTCCCGCTTGGCGGTCTCTTAGTTTGTTCATGCTGACTGCGGCTGTTAGCCGCCCCCCCTCCCCCCTGCCGCCCCCTCGGCCCCGCCTGCGGGCCGTCCTGGCCGCCCCTCCTCCTGCAGGCGTCCCCTCGCGGGAGGCCTGGGCCCGCCCCGTCTCTACTTGTTCTGCGGCTGTTAGCTGCGAGCGCCACCCGCGCTGCATCCGTGCCCTCGGCGCTCCCCCCCAGGCGCTAGGGCCGGCAGGCCGTGGATTCACTGGGCCGACTCGCCCGTCCTCCTCCTGCGGCTGCCCCCCCGCAGGCGGCGCGCTGGCCCGCCCGCCGGCCTCGCTATCTCAGTGGCTGTTAGCCGCAACTCCCCTCGACAGTGCGGCCTGTCCCTCGCCGCGTCTTCCGGGGGCGCTTGCGTCTCGCGGCGCCTCTTGGGCCGATCTTCCCGGCCCGTCCACCCTCCTGCGGCTGCCCCCCCGCGGGCGGGGCGCGGGCTTAGTGGTGGCTGCGCCGCGCATTTTGCCTTTATATGCGACCGCCGCGGCGCGCCGTGGCCTCGGCGCTCTCCCCGGGGCGCTGGGGCAAGCTGGCAGTGAACATCCTGGGTCGACTGTCCCGTCCCCCTCCCGCGGCTGCCCCCCCGCTGGAGGCGCGCGGGCCGGCTTTGGCGCAATATTTCTGCGGCTGTTTGCTGCGGCCCCGCCCGCCGCGCGGCCCTGGCCCTCAGCGCTCCCTCCGGGCACCCGTGCCAGGAGATGCGTCGATCAGTCCCGGGCTGTTTGGCCCGTTCATCGTCATGCGGCTGTCCCCCCGCAGGAGGTGCATGGGCTTGTCACCTTACTTCAGCCGCTGCTGTAGGCCTGTTGACCCCTGCGACGGCGCGCGGCCATACCGCTTGCGTTCGCGAGCGAAAAAGTATCCCCACCAGCGCATCCAGGAACGATGCCCAGGGGAGTTTGCGGGCCCATGGCGCGTCTTTGGTGCCTCGGGTTTCCACTTGAGGCTTTTTGGGGTGCTCTTGGGAGCATCTTGGATGCCCCTTGGGCGCCTCTTCGGGCCGTCTGGCCGCTTGGGGCCCTCTTGGGGTGCTCTTGAGAGCGCGAGGGGCGCTCTTTGGGACATCGATCAAACAAAAGGGGAGCGTCAATGTGGGTCCCCCCTCGGGAGCCCCCAAAAGTCGCCTCTTGGTGCGGGGCGCTCTTGGGGCGCTCTTGGGTACTCTTGGGGCCGTCTTGGGGCTCTCCTGGGCCTCTTCTGGGGCCCTCTTCTGCTATCCTGGAGCCATCTTGAGGCCTCAGATGGCCCTCGGAAGCGGAAGGGCTAGAGATCAAACGTCATTGATTTTGGCCTCTGGGGGAACTCCTTGGAAGTCTCGGAGGGCCCTGGGCGCCGTCTTGGAGCGCTGTTGGGGCTTCTAGTTGCATTTTGAAAGGCATTGTGAGGCATCTTGCGCTATCTTGAGCCATCTTGGTGGTCATCTTGAGCTTTCCGGGGCCCTCTTGGAGCCGTCTCGGGCCGTCCTGGACGCTCCAACGCCTCGACGCCCCTCCCCCGTCCAGGTCCAGGGGGTGGGTGGGGGGGAGGGATAAACCCTTTCCCGAAGGGGAAGAAGGGGTTTGAAAAGGAAGTTCTCTAGACCATCTCCTCCCCCTCCTCTTCCTCCTTCTCCTCCTCGTCCTCCTGCTCCTTCTCTTCCTTCCCCCTTTCGGTCTCTTCCTTCTCCTCTTCCTCCTCCTCCTCGTCCTCCAGGGCCTGAAGCCTCCTTGGCGCACATTCCTTATGCGCGCCCGCACGCGCTGCGACGTGTTGTTTTTTTTCCACAGGGCTTGGCCCAAGACCTCGGATGCCGCCCGCGGGGTTGGGTTCCTCCGTCCTCGAATTTGGTCTGTCGTGGCGGGCTACACGGGAAAAAACGGAGGATGGATATAAGATGGGGGTGAGCAGGAGAGAGAGAGAGAGAGAGAGAGAGAGAGAAAGAGAGAAAGAGAGAAAGAGAGAGAGAGAGAGAAAACAGAGACATCAAGATAGAAAGGAAGCCATGCCATTCAGGAGTCGTTTTGGCCGCCTTTCGAGGCCCTTCAAGGAGGTTGCCGGTTGCGGTGCTGGAGGCCCTCGCATGCTTCTTGGGGGTTTTGCTGGCTGCGTTTTGGCCTTCGTCTGTAGTCTCCGGGTCCTCTTGGGGTTGTGGAGCCCTCTTGTGGGTATTGTGGGCCTCTTGGCTGCGTTTGGAGGGCCAGTGCCTTTTGGCGGCCTGTTGGAAGTTAAGTGTTGGGCCAAAATTTGGCCAGCCGCTTCCCAACGCTGAGTTGTTACCTATCGTCGTTTTTTCTTTTCTTTTTTTATTATTTTTTTTCTTCCCCCTCAGAGGGTAGAAATCTCTTGCACAGTCTGGCCCACTAAAGTTTGAGGCCTGGAGGGGGGTCCAGGTCAGGCAGGCCTTGGACCGGACCGGGAATCGCTCCGTACATCCCTCGGAACCGCGAGATCCCAGAGATTCCTGGTCAATCCCGATCCGATCCTGTCCCGACCCTGCCATCGTCTGAGAGTGCGTCTTGAGACCACTCCAGGCCGGCGGGCGCTCGGATTCCAGCTATGTCTCAAGGGGGCCCGGCTCATTTGTCCGTAGCCATTTTGGCTCAAGCTCAAGCCGCTCTAGTTCAGGCCATTCGCTACACAAGTGCGGCCGAAAATATTGCCACCCTTACCCTTGTTAACCCATAGGCGTTCCTTGCGCCATGGCTCGCAGTCTGATTCAATGCCTGCTGACTGTGCTCTTGCTTTTTGCAGGTCGTGCGAGCGCCGTGCTTCATGGAGGCCGCACTGCTTACCGATCCGCACTGCGCGGCAAGCACGTCTCGAGGACACTCGTGTCGAATACCACGGACGGCAAAGTGTTCTGGCGTTCCACGGTCTGCGTGAATGGCCAGTGCAGTACGACCGAATCAACGACAGCTCCTGATCAGCTCAGGGAGACGTCGGGCTTGGACGGGGAGCTTGACCGTGTTGACAACATGTTCGGCAGCGACTTCACCCGCACGGATGGCATCTTCGGTGAACTTTTTCCCGTCGTGGACGATTTGTTTGGCAGCCCGTTTGACGGTTTCTTTGGCAGCAGTTCACCCCGCTTGGACGCCATCTCTGGCAACAATTTCAGCCAGATATTTGATGATGCGGCGATGCCTATGCTGACGGGCAACCTATCGGTCGATGGAGCCGGGATGGGCAAGATCAATGCCACCTCGACCTCTTCTAGCATCGAGCAGATCCTCGGAGAGGACGGCCAGGTTCATTACACGATGACGACTTGCAGCAATGGTGAGTGCAAAACCGTCACAGGAGAAGGGCGACCAGACGAGCAGGCAGCGAGCAAGCTTCGGGCGAAGCCATCAGATGTTTAATTTGACCATGTGCGCTTTAGGTGGGCCGTGTTCTCACGCAAAGACCATAACAGACCATGATCACGTTTACTAGCAGAGCCTGGGGGAAAAAAAGGGGGGGCGCGGCTCATTTCTCAGGTTGGGAACAGAACGCACAAACACAATGAACCGTCGTTTCCTAGGAATATTTTGGGATAATATGAGAAGTGGCCGAGAACATGTAAGAAAAGATGGGGAATCCTGGGATCTGGTTCCCTTTGTGTGTCCCTGGGCCCATTTGCTTTCGCACTGCAGGGCCGCTGGCAGTGCTGAGCTTCCGCTCGAGGGCTCGTGGGCGCCGCCCCGGCAGCTCGGGGGTGCTCTCCCTTTCTCGATCTCCCCTGGCTTTAAGTCGGGCCTGTCCCTCTACAGCGGGGCTATTCAAAACCAGTGAAAAATTAGTTAGGGGCGATTTTCTGACCCGTTTTCGAATATCTTTGGTATATGCCTTGGGAATTCTTGACGCTTCGCGAATCCCCACCAGCCCATCCAGAATTGATTGCCAGCTTTCTTGAGGCCTCTTTAGAGGCTATCTTGAGCCATGCTCGGCTAGAGGCTGTCGGAGGCTATCTTGAGCCATGCTCGGCTAGCTTGGGCCATCTTGATGCTGTCTTGAGGCCTTCTTGGGGCCCTCTTGAGGATCTTTTGGGGGAGTCTTAGAGCCCTCTTGGGGCTCTTTGGGGGTCTGGGAGGCCTCTTGGGGCCGTCTTGGGCACCATGGCTCAAAAAGAGGGGGGGAGGAATTCGGCCCCCCCCCTCGGAGTCCTCAAACGGCATCTTGGGGCCCTCTTGGAGCGCTCTTGGGCGCCTCTTGGGCGATCTTGGGGCCGTCTTCGGCCTTCTTGGGCCCCTCTTGGGCTTCTTTTGGGCCATCTTGGGGCCATCTTGAGGCTTCCAAAGCCCATCGGAAACGAAAAGGCGATAATGCCAAAAACATTGATTTTCTGTAGGCTTTTGAACGGTTTTGGCATCTTGGAGGGCGCCGTGGAGGGCTCGAAGGGCACTTGGATCCGTCTTGGGGCTGTCTTGGGGCCTCTTGGGGGTATGTCGGAGGCTACCTTGACCCATCTTGAAGTAGCATGGGCCATCTTGGAGGCCATCTTGCGACTTCGAAGCCCTCTTGGAGCAATCTTGGGCCATCTTGGACGCTCTAACGCCTCGGTACCCCCTCCCTTCCTGGCCCAGGGGAGGGGGTAGGGGGAGGGGTTTCAGTGGAAGAGAGAAGAAAAAACGTGACATACCACCTACGCCCAGAGGGCTGGTGGGATTTTCGATTTTTCGTCCAAGATCCCCCTGTATAGGGGGACTGGCCCGCCTTGACCCTGGCTCCTCGAGGGCGCCCCGCTCCTGTCCCGCGGCAGCGCACGGCAGCTTGGCGCAGCGCCGTGCAGGGCGGTGGGCGCCAGCGAGCACTCGCAGCGGAGCCGGCCGAGCCGGAGCCGTAACGTGTGGCAGCGCTCGGGGCTCAAGAGGCGGGGGTCAGTGCAAGCGAGTGGGAGGGGGTCCTCCTTCTCCTCCTCCTCCTCCTCCTCCGCCCTCCTCCTCCTCCTCCTCCCTCCTCCTCCTCCTCATCCTCTTCCTCCGCCCTCCTCCTCCTCTTCCTCCTCCCCCCCCGTCCAACTTATGGTGGTGGTGGAAAACAGGCTCATCATGCAGGATCCTGCGGAGCCAGGGTTGCACTGAGCCGGGTTTGGGTGCAGGATGTTGCAGGATCCTGCAGGGCGTGGCTGATGCGGGTCTGGATTGACCTGGGTCAGTGGATCCCCGAAGCGCGTTCTCGACGGTTCCGAGCAGCATCCGGTCTGATCCATGGTGCAAAGTTTTGTCTTCAGCTTCTCACAGTCAAATTCTGAGTCGGGCAGGCGGCGTTCGTTTTTCAGTTGCTGTCTTCCCTGTTCAATGTATGAGTTGTTCTTCCCGAGTGATTCGTGCCAGGGCGACTGAAAAGCTCTAGTCTCCAGGCCACCTTTTGAAGCATCTTTTTTCGAGTCCCGGCGACCAGCTTGGATTTCGCTCCCCCGATCTTTCGGACCCGACTTCAACGTCAGTGTGCCAAAATCCGCAGTGTTCCTGAGGTCCAGATTGGCCCTCGGAAGCACGTCACCGCCGACCCGCTGATGAGGAGAGTGCGACAGGTTGCTTCCCGCTGTTACCGCGTGACCGATCTCACGTCGCCAGCATCGCAGAGCGGATCTCGTTCAGAAAACAAGAGGATGGGCCTGGAGTGTCCCGGATAATTTCGTTCTGGATTTCGAGGTGAATTTCGTGCAGATCTTTTTGGGCCAGGAATGAAGACTGAAATACATTCACGCGACATTCACTTCGTTCTTCGCTCGCCGCTTCGGGCAAACATCCACGCATAAGTCCACGCAGAATTCCGCTGCAGCACGTCTGCAAGGCTGGTGCACTGACCGATCTTGATGGGCTTATTTTCCACCACATAAGTTGGAGGGGGGAAAGAGGAGGAGGAGGAGGAGGAGGAGGAGGAGGAGGAGGAGGAGGAGGAGGGGGAGGAGGAGGAGGAGGAGGAGGAGGAGGAGGAGGCAGCGAGGCGGAGGAGGAGGAGGACCCCCTCCCCCTCCAACTCATGGTGGTGGTGGTGGTTGAAAACAGGCCCATCAGATCCTTCGGCCGAGCTCTTCCCCTCCTGCTCTCGACACGAGGCCCCGCAGCAGCCAGCCCTGGAGCAGCGGCTGGGCGCCCTGGAGCAGCAGTGCCGGCCCGCCGGGGCGGCGGCCGTGCCGCCGGCGCCGGACCCGCGGTGGTCGGGGCTCGAGGGACGGGGGTCACTGCAAATGGGGGTCAGTCATGATGGGCCTGTTTTCCATCGTCGCCACCATAAGTTGGAGTGGGAGGAGGTCCTCCTCCTCCCTCCTCCTCCCTCCTCTCCCTCCTCCTCCCTCCCTCCCTCCCTCCCTCCCTCCCCCCTCCTCCCCCTCCTCCTCCTTCTCCTCCTCCTCCTCCTCTTCATCCTCGTCCTCCTCTTCTTCTTCCTCCTCCTCTTCCTTCTCTTCCTCCTCCTCCTCCTTCTTCTTCCCCCCCTCCAACTTATGGTGGTGGTGGTGGACAACAGGCCCATCAAGTCAGAGCTCCGTTGCTTGCAGGATCCTGCAGGACCAGGGTCGCACTGACTCCGTTTTGGGTGCAGGATCCTGCAGGATCCTGCGCAATCTTGCAGGATATCCTGCAGAGCCCGACTGACCCGGGTCTGGATTGACCCAGGCCAGAAAATCCCCGAGGTGGTCCGCGGCCGCGGCCGCGGCCGCAGACGCGGTGCTGGCGGCGGAGGCCGCGCAGGCAGCCGCGAACAGGGCTCTTGCCCGCTGGTCGCCCAGAGCCACCGCGGCGGCGGAGGCGGTGATGGCAGCGGAGCTCGCCGAGCGCAGGGCCATCGACGCAGAGCTCCGAGACTGGAAGTACCGGTGGGGCCAAGAATCATAGGAAGAGATACCCATACCGCTACTTTCCCTTCTTGGGTTTTTGGGCCTCCGGGGAGGCCCTCGCCGCCACCGCCGGATTCGCCTCGAAATTCTGGTCAGAACGCACCTCAGAAGAGGTCCGGGGAGCAGCGGTATCGGTACCTCTTGGTTCCCCCAGAGAGAACTCACGAGAAACTTTCTGGCGCGCACCTCATCAGTCTTTGGAGCGGAGGGGGAGGTGATGGGATTGTTTTCCACCGCCACCATTCGAAGTTGGAGGGAGAAAGAGGAGGAGGAGGAGGAGGAGGAGGAGGAGGAGGAGGAGGAGGAGGAAAAGGGAGGAGGAGGAGGAGGAGGAGGACGAGGACGAGGAGGAGGAGGAGGACGAGGAGGAGGGACGAAGAGGATCCCCCCGGGGGGGGAGTCCGTAGCCATGTTGGCTCAAGCCATTTTGGCTCAAGGGGATCACCGTACACCCCGTCGTTTTCTTCTCCAACTGCCAGGTGCGCCCTGGCCCCACCAGCCCCATCGAGCTCCCCAGATGCCCCGCAATGGCCCCAAGTCTCCGCATGCTGTGGGGTGTTCTGCTTGCGGCAACAAGTGGAACAATCCTTCGACCAAAGTATGCTATCATTGTGGTACGCCCTTACCGCCGAGCTACCAACCCCTCATCCCTCTCGCTCAGGGTTGGGTCCCGCCTCCCCCAGGGAAAGGTTCAGCAGGTTACAGGTACAACAACCTCCACCAGCATTACATGGGCCACATGGGCGGAGGGGGCGGGAAGAAGGGATTTGGTGGCATAGGAGGACGAGGACAGAAGGGCGATACCAAGGGCAAGAAAGGAGGGGGACAAGGTGGACAAGGGCGAGGTGGAGCTGGAGGAGGTGCTGGAGGTGCTGGAGGAGCAGGAGCAGCAGCAGGTCGTAAAGGCGTGCCTACCCTCCATGGCCTTCACCAAGTGGTGCAGCAAGCGCGCTCCAAACATAACGACCTCCCCATCGAATTCGTGGAGCAGCTCGAAGAAATATACGCAGCAACCCAAGCACAACGATGGGAAAAAAGCACCCCCCAGCAAGCAGCTGCAACATCATGAGCAAGCAGTATTACGCAAGGAAAAGCAGCTCCAGCAGGTGCAAAATGAATTGGACGAGCTCGAAAATGCCATGAAAGCTCTGTCTAACATCAAGTTGGAGCTGGTATCAAAAACTGAAGGCCTGGAGAGTGAGCTCGAAGCCATGCGCTCAGAAGCAGCTGAAAAGTTGGCAGACAGCATGAATTCGACGAAGGACCTCAAACACAAGCTTGCTGTGTGGGAGGAGGTCATCGAAGCTCATCCCCATAAAGAAGAGCTATTCCAGGCATATGATTCGAAGTGCGCGGCTTCAGCAGCAGTGCCACCAGATGAGGATATGGCAGGAAAAGAGGAGGAGGCGATACAAGGGGAAGGAGCGAAAGAAGGGCAGAAATAATAACTTTGGTATGACAAGGAGCTGGAGCAGTTGGATGAGGAGATGGGTTTCTCGTTCCGTCAGAAGCGTTCTAGCTCCCACGTGGACCTGGAGGGACTATTGGACAAGCTCAAGGGTACCCAGACATCTGCCAAGGTTTTCCCCAATGGCGTTGGCGATGGTCCCCACGAGGCGGTGTCGCGAATTGCAGCGAAGCTTAAGCAGTTCAAGGGACGGGACAGCATGGGTGCAAGGGTGGTGCAGGGTCGTCTTCGTCAGCAGCAGCAGAGGGAGCAGTGCAGCATGGGTAGCCCACCTGTACCTCAGCAGCGCCCCCGTGGCAAAGCGAGAACGCGTCCCAAAGACATTGCCATCAGCACCATGAATGTAAACCTTTGGTCAACAGGGGCTGATATTCTGCCCCAGATCTCGTCAGATATAATCCTCGTGCAGGAACACCGACTTAGGAACGATAAATATCAGCAAGCTGTGGAAAAAGCCACAGAGAGCAGGCTACAAGGTCTACGGCACCCAGGGCCTGGTAGGACCGAAAGGTGGAGTCTCCAGTGGGGTCTTCATCCTCATGAGTGGACACCTCGATACCTAGGCAGACAATTATCAAGTAATTGTACCAGGACGGGTCTGCAGGTGTTTCTGTAGATCGAAGGCCTATGGAGTCATAGCTCTTTACTCGGTCTACTTCATCACGGGCAAAGGCTTGGGTGAAGGGAACTATGACATCTTGCGCAAGATAGGCAACGACATGACAAGGCATGGCCACCCCTCGATTATAGGTGGCGGCTTTAACATTGAAGTGGGTATTTTCACGGAACACGTAGATCTATCCACATTACAATTGGTGGTTAAATGCGCTCCAATTCCGAGCTGTATTACTCAGGCGGAAGATGGGGCAATCGAATCAAGCACCTACATCGACTACTCCCTCGTAAGTAATGTTCTGACGCATGGGCTCCAAGGCGTTGCAGTGAACTTCGGCATAGAGTTATCCCCGCACAGAGTGGTGGACCTTGCGCTGCAAGGCAACACTCACGAGATCATGGTAGACGTCCCAGAGGCGTACCAAACATACCCCACCGAACAAGCTATTGGACCACTATTCCACCCAGGCCTACCAGACTACTCTGAGGTGACAGCCAGCTTACAAAAGTACCTGGAGGCCCACACTGGTTCATATGGGAAAACGTGGAGTATTGCAGGGGGCTCAGAAGAGATTCAAACTGCAACGGAATTCTTGGACCAAAAGTACTCGGATTGGTTATCCAAGGTGACCAAAGAGATCAGTTTACGAACTCAAACACCTCCATCAGGCAAGCATCCCGGGGAAAAACTGGAAATCAAGCAAGTACCACTCCAGCAGTTTTTGCAAACTAAGCATTACGACAAAGTTCTCCCAGAACGGTCATTGTCGTGGCTACGAAGACGTTTCTGGGAGCTCCACAGCTTGTGCTATGCTGTTGAGGAGGGTCACTTTCCAGCAGGATATTGCTCCCAGCTGGTCCAGGTTATGGTACGACTGCCCTGCGAAGGCGGCCCGTTCCGCATGCATTGGAGAGAAGGAGGGGAGATCTTCCACCCCTGGGTTTCAGCAGTTACCCAAATATTCCAGCAGCGCAAGACCGCGGACCACTCCATCCTCCTCCTGGATCTTTGTTCTTGCTTTGATGCTTTGCGCAGGGCAGGGCAGGGTTCCGACAATCGCCTCCAGAGAGAGAGAGTTGGCAGGAGTGGGCGGGTCAGGCGGCAGAGGGATCAGCAGGGGCTCTGTGTCGGCACTTGAAGGAAAAAGATGCCCACGATACGGATGAGTTCATCACGGAAGAAGGGCTGTCTTCATCCCTCCCAGGCTTCATGGACCAGCAGCTCACCATGTGGAGCAAACAATGGGCTGCTTCAGAGGACCCCATCCCAGAGCCCGACTGGCTAGCCCAGAGACGCCCCATCCCAATTCCCCTTGCAGCAGACCCTGAAGTCCTGAGAGCCATAGCTAGGAAGTTCAAGGAGCGCACGTGCCAACCCGACGGGTTCCACCCTCGACATTTTGGAATGCTCTCGATCGAAGGTCTGCGCGTTATGGGTCCTTTGTTCCAGATCATGGATATAATTTTCAACGGCCCCACATATATGCGCCACATCCTGCTTTTATTGGCTAGGAAGCACAAGGGGCCAGGAAGACGCTGCATTGCTTTCTTCTCAGGCATGCTACGCTTTAAGGGTAAGTTAGCAGCTTCGGAGTGCAAAGAATGGGGGCGTCAGTGCGGTATGGGAGGGGAGTTCTCAGATACACAGGGTAGGTCGCCCGAATATGCAGTATGGAGGCAGAGGGTTAGGGCAGAGCTACAGGCAGGCAAGGGACTACACTACCTACAGCTGCTGTGGGATATTTCTGCCTACTACGAGCACCTGGACCACCGCGTAATGTACGACCAGGCAAGCTTCACCTGCTATCCTCTGCATATTTTGTTGTTCAACATACAGATATATAGGTGGCCCCGCATATTGATATTAGACGGGCCAGTATCAAGCCCAACATACCCAGACCGTGGAATCGCAGCAGGAGGATCCTCGGCGACCTACGGAGCCAAATCTTACATGATGCCCATCATGACCCAGGCACTAGACCCACACCAGGACGGGCTCTCGGCATGCATGCACATTGATGACTTGAATCTATGTGCTTGGGGAGAAGGCGTCAGTTGGGTAGTGGAGTCTCTGGCGGATCTGGCACCCAAGATGACCAAGGGCCTCCACGCCCTCAGCCTAAGCCTGCCCATCCCCAAGTTGAACATGGTAGCCAGCTCAGGCAAGCTCCTGGAAGCAGCTAAGTCAGTCTTGAAGGAGCTGGGGGGTTCGAATGTTCCAGCAGCAGTTAGCCTTGGGATAGATTTTACCGCGGGGCAACATGCGCGTGTACCAGGAGCCAGGGCACAACGACGTAAAAGATGGATCATTGAGGGCCAGGGTCAAGCAAATCCAGTCCCTTCGCATGAAGGGCAAAACGAAGCTCCGAAACAGGCAGATTTTTCACAGTTGGAGGCCGCTCCACCATCTCATATGGGGCGGGGGTCCAAGGTTTTACTCCCCGTGAGGTCAGTTCCATTCGCAAGCTAGGAGCGATAGCCTCAGGGCGTTACACCAAGTCGGCCAACAACGCGCTCTGGTGAATCACCGTCCCAGATAAAGATCCAATAAAGCTTATGGTTCAGGTCATGGAAAGATACTGTATAGCATGGTGGAATGCTTCATCCACCAGACCTGGGCTGCGTACGCACCGTGACCTTTTAATCATCAAAGAACTCAGAGCAGCCCACCAAGCGGCCGTACAGGCCCTGGCCACTTCCACTAAGCATAGCTGGTTAGCCAAAGCACGAGGCCCAATTCCCAGTTACTCATGTGGGTCGCAGAAGTCGGCTGGACTATGCCAAACGCAACAACCTTCTGCGACACCAATGGCCGCAGATGGGACATTTTAAAAATCCCACCTAGGCGTGTAGCAAACCATATGGCAAGCCAGTATAAGCAGAAGCTGGCTCAAGACTATGTTAGGTCCAAGTGTGCTCCAGAGGCCCCTGTGGCCTCGGAACGCTTATGGGCCGAACAGTTTTTTAAAGACTCTTAGCAGCAGCAGAATGACCCGCTCAGAGGCATCAACGGCCAGGCATGTCTTCTGTGGCGCGCTCCCCACAGGGGACAAGCTAAAAGCGTGGGGATTTAAGGAGGTCGGGCCATGCACCTACTGTGGTGCGGTTGACACCACCTTTCACCGCATATGGGAGCGCCCACATGGAGCCCCAATGCGAGATGAGTGTTTATCGGACTATGTAGAAGCAGGTCTAACAGCAGGCCCAAATGACTTAATGTTTTCGCGCTTATGGGCTGTGCGACCCAATTCGCAGGTGTGCCCACCGTGTGGAGATTGGAATCTCCAATACTTTGTAGGAGCAGCAGATGGTGGGTCAGAATTGTGTAGCCGCGAACAGTTTGGCCTCTTCGAAGCTTCAGGGCCAATATGTACAGACGGCTCTTGCATTCATCCCACCCATCCTTTCCTCTCTCGAGCAGGCTGTGCGGCAGTCCAGCTCGATGATTCGGGTGGGCTCCTAAAGGCCCTCAGGGGCCCGCTGCCAGATATGCCCCCACGGACCTCAGGCCGCGCGGAACTTGCAGCGCTGCAGCTGGCGGTACAGCATTCGACCTGGCCCCGAAGTGCCCCTTTTGTTATAGACTATGCAGCGCTGCTCAAAGGGCAGCGCTCACCGCATGCAGTTCTAACAGGCACTAATGATTTTGCAGGCCACTGGAGAGGCATCGGAGAAGCAATCCCAGTAGGCCAGTGGCCAGTCTTGGAAAAGACCAAGGCCCACCGCGCACTCGAGGAGGCAGAGAACAATGCAGACATCCAGCATGTCCTAGGCAACAAGGCCGTAGATTGGCATGCAAGCCAAGCGGCAGCTTTGCATGCTCCCAGCCCCGAGGAGGCAAACACAGTTCTAGCCGCCGCGGAAGGTTACCGAGACCTAATCATTGGCACGACCAAGGTCCTCGGCCAGTGGCCCAAAGCTCGTGAACCCTGGGACAAACTATTTAAAGCAGCCCCTGAAAGGAAGGAGCGCCCATTTATACAGTGCCATACTCCTGTATGGCACGAGAAATGCTTTAGTTTCAGCACCTGTTTCAGAAAGGTCAGCCCGTGCACGACGTTCGCGTGTCAAGGGCTAAATGCAGCAATTCAAAAGTTGCTAGATGGCCAGCATGGTCTAGGCCACGTGCTGCATGCAGCCACAATTGACGGCTCGCAGGTTCCCATTATATTTTGTATCAAACGTGGTCGATTCTTAACTTGTAAGTCGACCAAGCTAGATCAGGGAAGCTGCCTCAGGCCCAGAGCTGCGCAAGTTCCTCAAAGGCCAGGTCCCTGGGTCGTCGGGGGCCTTTTCCCACGCTTTCCCCATGGCCCAGTTGGCGCGTTCTATACAGCAGCAGGACATGTAGCTGTCAGACCCTTCCAGTCTGGGGGTTGGGAGGGACGTCAGAGGCAGCAGCGGCAGCAGGTGAGGGGTGCAATGTATAGGCTCCAAGAGTTTTAGGCTTGTGCGCGCCCAGTTCGCAGTTTCAGATCGTCGGCAATGGACTATGTACCATGTGAACACCACCGAAAATGTGGTGGATGGTTGCGCCGAGACAGGCTCGAGCAGGAACCGTGGGTCCATTGTCATCGCCTCCGTGATGGTATGCGTTGCGGGGGCAAGTTCGTTCTCAGGACATGTACCCCACGCCGCCCAGTGCATCCGCCTCCGCAAGCAGTGAGCGGACGTCCGGCCAGGTTTGTCGCTAAACCCGCGCTTTTCAGAGCCGAGGAGGAGGCAACTCAGCTCCGCCAGCAGCTAGCTACGGTCAGGGCGGAGAGGGATGCACTCGCCAATGGGCTGGACCGCGCGCTGGCAGCCAGCATCCCACTCCCCGACGAGGGACAGGGGGAAGAGGCAGGCAGTGATGAAGATTTCTAGGCTACCCCCTTGTAAGCCCTGCGGTCCAGTCCTGGTGATGAGGCAGTTGCAGTTACTAGACAGTATGAAGGCTGGGCTTACATAGAGGGCATTAAACTTCACAGGCCTCTGGTGGAGGAGGAGTGGGGGGTTTCGAGTATTAGCGTGCGTGTGTGTGTGTGTGTGTGTGTGTGTGTGTGTGTGTGTGTGTGTGTGTGTGTGTGTGTGTGTGTGTGTGTGTGTGTGTGTGTGTGTGTGTGTTGGGCCTTTGGCTCCCCTGCGTGGTGTGCGCTGGCGGGGGAGGAGCTCGTCACCCCCCTCCCCTTCTGGCGTCCACCGCCACCGCCTTCCCTCCGCAGACTCTCGCTCCTTAGGCTTCGCATTGGCCTGCGCCCCACCTGTTGAAATGAGCGCAGGCTCGGCCGATGGAAGTCGCAGCGGCAAGGATGAGGGCCCCAAGAAAGCCCACAGAGAGTTTCCTCAATTTGCGCAGTGTGGCTGGCCTAGTCCACCAGGCCCAAGAGGCATCTCAGAGCATGCACGCCTCATAGGTGAGGACCCGCCTCCAGAGGGTATAGGCCCTTCTCCTTGCGAGGCGGATAAAATCCTGCACAGGCTCAACGCCTATCTCGAAGTGGCCAATGACACCCGCCTGATGCCTTTGAACAGGCTCGAGGGTATGGAGGCTGCCCCCCGCAGTGGCACCCTCTAGGCATTGGCCACTTGCTCCCCTCCCATCCCTCTCCATTTATCATTCGTACCCCGTTACCCCCCCCCCATCCTTCCCACATTTTGGGTCCTTGCGGCTGGTAGTGATCCGTCTCAGGCCAGTGCTGGACTAGTGGGCGGTGGTGGGGTTGTGGACGGGGAGTGTTGAGGTGGCGTGGGGGGGAGAGAGAGCGCGCGTGGCCGCCCGCCGCTCGACGCGCTCACGATGTTGAGCACGAGCTTCATGAAGGCGGGAGCGTTGCGCAGCGCCGCGAGGAGGGGGGGGGGCTCGAGGTTCTCTCCTTTGTTTTTGGGCCTCCCCCCCGGCTTGGTTTAGGCTTAGGCTGAGCTTGCTCGACCTTGGCCGTCCGCAGAAACCGCAGAAACCACGGGCGAGGAGGATGAGGAGGTGGAGCAGGAGGGGGAGGGCACCCTTCCCCTCCAACTTGTGGTGGTGGTGGTGGAGGACAGGCCCATCAGGAGGGGGGGTTGTGGCGCTCGTTCGTTGCTGCAGGCCCCAGTCTTCGTTGCAGGGTTGTGCTCCAGTGCCCTCACGTGGTGCCGAATCCCTATCTCTTGGGAACCACCCGTGCGCCGCCCCAGCGACTTCTCCCCCCTCCTGCGCCCGCCCCGTGCCGCGCCGACGCGCTCGCTCGCCTACATTCAGCCACGCGCAGAGGGGGGTGGGGGGAGGGGGGAGGGCTTCTTAGAAGCACCCCTGCTCCTTAGAAGACGCGGGCCGTATCTATAGATGCAAGGTCGGCGCTTTCTAAGAAGCAGCCTCCTTAAGCCCTCCCCCCTCCCCCCACCTCCTTGCGCGCGCCGCCAATGAAACTTGCGCAAGGAACTTGCACAAGAAGGTAAAGTGCACACCCCTGTGGGCCGCGGTCGTATGCTTCTTCTGTGTCCAAAGTGGGCCAGACTCTGCAAGTTTCGCCTCCCCATCGGGGGCCCCAGGAATGCCCGCGCGCCAACCCAGGCCCCCCCCCCTGAAGTGGGGCCCCACGAGTGCCCATCTGGGCGCGGCCGCATGCTCAACCAGTACCCCTTGCGCGCTTCGGGGCGGGGCACAGTCGCCACCGAGGCCTCACATGCCAACGAGTCGCGCACGTCGCCCTCCGGTGCAAGCGCCCAGTTCAGACCAGTGATGGCGGCTCCCAGAGCGGCGACTCCCTCGCGCACCTTCTGCCTTCCAAGATGGTTTCCGCAACTTCTGCCCAGCAGTGTAGAGTTCGAAGAAGAACAAACCACGTAAACAGAAACTTTTGGCGCTCCGCGCGAATTTCTTGGATCCGCACCTGGGCCCCCTGGCGGCGCCACCGGCGCCGCCCCTGGCGCGTTCCGCGCGCCAGGGAGGGGGGTCCAGCGCGGATCCAAGAAATCCGCGCGGGGCGCCAAAAGTTCATGGTGATGTTTTTTTCCTTCTTCTTCGGAGACTGTTCGCCCCACCTGGCTGGCAGAACTGGGGGGAGCGGCTTTCATCTGGCCCCCGAGGCATTTCGTCGAGCCCCCGAAGTACGGCGCACTGTTCGGCGACCGCTTCTGCACCGACCCCGTTCAGGGTTGCTACGTGGAGGCCTCGGTTCGCCTCAGACACGCCAGGGGGACGTCTGCGGCGAATCACTTTCAGCAACGTCGAGATTCTCAGCGCACCCCGCGGTCAGAAACATGCCTCAGCATGTTCGCGTATGTTTACACGCCTGCTCTACATATAAAACAAAAACCTGGGGTGAGAGGAGGGTCGCACTCAGGGCCTCTGAGACGGGGTCGCAGCAAACAGGGGCACAGGACACGCCGATTTCCACACTTGGCCGTGCCCCTGTTCAGGGGGCCCTGGGCTTCCACAGACGGGGGCAGGGTCGAGGGGGGCAGATGGCAGCGCGTGAGCCCCTGTTTCGCTTTGGCCCGGTTTGGGCGGGCCCTGACGCACCCGTGGACCCTGATCGTAAGTCTGGCCTGTCCCTCTACAGGACTAGTCAGGGGACGATGTTTCTATCATTGTTGAACTGTGTTTGCGTATTTTTCTGAGTTTTTTTTGTTTGTTTTCGATCACACAACATCGTCCAGAATCCGCCTGCAGGGGGACATGCCCGACCTAACCCTGATCTTCAGTTGGGCGACGCAGAAGAGCGGGGTCGGCCGCGCGGACACCGGCGCGCAAGCTGCCCGCGTAGGGAGCTCGCGTGAGCGCCCCCGTCTCCAATGTAGCGTGCCGCGCGGGCGGCCCGCGCAAGCCACCGCGTCAGACCGCTGTGCTGTCTCGCCTGACGGTCGCCCATGTGGAAGCCACGGCCCAGTTTGGGGGGGGCCCGGCGCACGCGGGCAACTTGATATCAGGAGAGCGATCGGTCATGATAGTCACTCGTGCCAAGGTCAAGGATCTCGCGCCAGGGAGGGGGGTCCTGCGCGGATCCAAGGGAGTTCGGAGCGCCAAAGGTTTATGCTTATGCCGTTGTTTCTTCTTCTACTCTCTGATCCCTGATCCCCTTCCCTCCCATCCTTTCTAGGCCTCCCAGATGAGGTCCGAGTAGATGGGGTCGGAGGATCGCGCCGCATCGCCGATGCACCAGCGATGCGGCTCGATGCGGAGCCCGATTTGCTCCACGCCGACGTCGCCGATGCGTCGCCGACGTCGCCGATGCATCGGCAATGCATTGGCGATACATCGGCGTTGCATTTTCGATGCAGCGGCGATTGCCTCTTTCGAGCAGTGGCGAAGCGTCTTGGCTTGCTTAGAGGCCCACCAGAGGATGTTCTAAGAACTATTGTGGCTTGGACAAACAAGGCTGTCTCGTTTGAGCACGTCGGGCTTATGTTCCAAGAACAGTGTCTCGTTTTGTTTTTTGTCTTATTTTATGTGTTTGGTGTTGTGTTATATATTTTTGTTTGTTTGTTTGTTTGTTTGTTTGTTTGTTGTTGTTGTTGTTGTTGTTGTTGCTGTTGCTGTTGCTGTTGTTGTTGTTGTTGCTGTTGTTGTTGTTGTTGTTGTTGGTGGTGTTGTTGTTGTTGTTAGTAAGGGCGGGGCGCCCCGACCCGTGTCCCACAACACCCCCCCCCCCCCACAACACTCACAACAACCGGGGGGGGGTCCGGACGGGCAACCGAAAGTTTCGGGCCCATTTCGGCGCACCCCTCACACGGTTCGTGGCCCCACAGGGGGCGGAGCCGAAGGCCTGGGGCCCATTTCGGCGCACCCCTCACACGGTTCGTGGCCTTCCAGGGGGCGCAAGCGAAGGTCTCGGGTCCATTTCGGCGCACCCCTCACACGGTTCGTGGCCCCACAGGGGGCGCAGCCGAAGGTTTTCGCGGCCCCACAGGGGGCGCAGCCGAAAGCTTCGGGCCAATTTCGGCGCACCCCTCACACGGTTCGTGGCCCCACAGGGGGCGCAACCGAAGGCTTTCGTTGCCCCACAGGGGGGGCAACCGAAGGCCTCGGGCCCATTTCGGCGCACCCCTCACACGGTTCGTGGCCTTACACGGAGCGCAACCGAAGGAATCGGGTCCATTTCGGCGCACCCCTCACACGGTTCGTGGCCCCACAAGGGGCGCAGCCGAAGCTTTTCGCAGCCCCACAGGGGGCGCAGCCGAAAGCTTCGGGCCAATTTCGGCGCACCCCTCACACGGTTCGTGGCCCCACAGGGGGCGCAGCCGAAGGTTTTCGCGGCCCCACAGTGGGCGCAACCGAAGGCTTCGGGTCCATTTCGGCGCACCCCTCACACGGTTCGTGGCCACACAGGGGGCGCAACCACATGCTTCGGGCCTATTTCGGGGCACCCCTCACACGGTTCGTGGCCCCACAGGGGGCGCAACCGAAGGCTTTCGCGGCCCCACAGGGAGCGCAACCGAAGGTCTCGGGTCCATTTCGGCGCACCCCTCACACGGTTCGTGTCCCCACAGTGGGCGCAACCGAAGGCTTCGGGTCCATTTCGGCGCACCCCTCACACGGTTCGTGGCCCCACAGGGGGCGCAACCGAAGGCATCATTCCTAGAGATCCATAGGGTTCCGACAGATTCTTAGGATACCCATAGATTCCCGAGAGAGAGTCTTAGGATTCCATAGATTCCTATTATTTCCAGAGACCCATACGATTCCCAGAGATTCCTAGGATTCCTAGAAGTTTTTTGGACTCTTACATATTCCTAGGGTTCCTAGAGATTCTTATGATTCCCAAAGATTCCTGGGATTCCCAAAGATTCCTAGGATTCCTAGAGATTCCGATGATTCCCAGTGATTCTTAAGATTCTTGGAGATTCTCAGGATTCCCAGAGATTCCTAGGATTCCCATAGATTCCTAGGATTCTTTAAGATCCCTAGGATTCCCAGAGGTTTGTAGGATTCCGAGAGATTCCTAGGATTCCCAGAGATTCGTGGGATTCCCAGAGATGCTTTGGATTCTTAGAGATTCTAGGGTTCCTAGAGATTCTTATGATTTCAGAGATTTTTAGTAATTTCCAGAGATTCCTAGGATCCCGAGAGATTCCTAGGATTCGCAGAGGTTCTTCTGATTCCCAAAGATTCCTCGGATTCCTAGAGATTCCTACGATTCCAGAGATTCTTAGGATTTCCAGAGATGCGTAGGATTCCCAGAGATTCCTCGGAATCCCAAAGGTTCTGAGGATTCCCAGAGATTCTTAGGATGCCCGGAGACCCTTAGGATTCCCAGAGATTCCTTGGATCAGAGATTCGTAGGATTCCAAGAGGTTCGTAGGATCACCAGAGATTTTCAAGAATCCCAAAGATTTCAATGGATGCCTAGAGATTCGTAAGAATGTCAGAGATTCTTAGAATCTCTTAATATTCTTAGGATTCCAAGAGATTCAAAGGCTTCCAACAGATTCATGGGATTCCCAGAGATTCGCAGGATTCCTAGGGATTCCTAGGGTTCCCAGAGTGTCCTAGGATTCCCAGAGATTCCTGGGGTCCCCAGAGATTCTTAGTATTCCAAAAGATTCACAGGATCACCAGAGATTCGTAGGATTCCGAATGAATCCCAGAATCCCCAGAGATTCAGAGGATGCCTAGAGATTGCTAGGATTCCCATAGATTCTTAGGATCCCCAGAGACTCGTAGGATTCCCAGAGATTCCTAGGATTCCCAGAGATCCTTAGGATTCCAACAGATTCTTAGCACTCCCAGCGATTTTTATGATTCGGATGGGTTCCTAGGATTCCTACTACTACTACTACTACTACTACTACTACTTTTACTATTATTTTACTACTACTACTACTACGACTACTACTACTACTACTACTACTACTACTACTACTACTACTACTACTATTACTACCACTACTACTACTACTACTATTACTACCAGTCCGTATCAGATCTGTGAAGGATCGTATACAGTCCGTATCGGATCTGTATAGGATCGTATACAGTCCGTATCGGATCTGTATAGGATCGTATACAGTCCGTATCGGATCTGTATAGGATCGTATACAGTCCGTATCGGATCTGTATAGGATCGTATACAGTCCGTATCGGATCTGTATAGGATCGTATACAGTCCGTATCGGATCTGTATAGGATCGTATACAGTCCGTATCGGATCTGTATAGGATCGTATACAGTCCGTATCGGATCTGTATAGGATCGTATACAGTCCGTATCGGATCTGTATAGGATCGTATACAGTCCGTATCGGATCTGTAGGATCCTATACAGTCCGTATCGGATCTGAATGGGATCCTATACAGTCCGTGTCGGATCTGTATAGGATCCTATACACGGACAGGACATTCTCACGGATCTGTACAGGTTCCTAAGGATCCCTAGGACATTCTCACGGATTCCTAGGACATTCCTAAGGATTCCTAAGAATTCCGAAGGATTCCCAGGTATTCCTAAAGATTCCTAGGAATTCCTTGCTTCGCCGGTGCACACATGCTTTTTGCCAGCAGGGATTCGTTGGTGCCAGAGAGGAGGTCCGCAGATGTTCACACAAATCGAATTCAATGGCGTTGTTGTGGGTGTTGTGGGGGGGGGGGGGGGGTCGTTGTTGTGGTTGTTGCCGGGGGGGGGTCCGACGGGTCGGCGCTGGCCGCCCTTGCTTTGTTGGGCCAGTGTTGTTGTTGTTGTTGTGTTGAACATTATTACTTCTAACATTATTAATTCTAAAGAATAATTATTGTTGGGACCCCTGGTGCACGGCCCCCCTGCGCCGCCTAGGCCGCAGCTACATTTTCATCATTTTCGTGAGGAAGCCTCAGGTAATTCGATGTGATCAAGATCCGGTTGTTTTGTTCCCCCCCGCTTTCCCTTGCAAAAAACACTATAAAATGACATTTCTTGTTCTAATATAATCAAATTTCAAGAATCCCTTGCAAAAAATAAGGTAAAGTGGACATTCGCGCGCGCAAGACGAAATCCTTCCAAAAGCTTAGTGTTCGGAGCGATTTTAACATAAAAACATCAAAAAACCAATGGTTTTTCAACAAAAAAATGTCAAAATCTCATCCCGCGCGCTCTTGCGGATTCGTAGGAAACCCAACACTTTTTAAACATTTCTGTCAAACGGGCTTTTGCGAGCAACTTTTTCGAACTTCTGCGACAACGGTTGCGCA